TTCGTTAAAGCAGGGCACATACACACGTGTGTATGCCCTGCTTTATAAAAGTTGTGATTTTCGTTAAAGCAGAGCACACGATGTGTGTATGTCTTGCTTTATAGAAATTGTGATTTTCGTTAAAGCAGGGCACGTACATACACACGTGTGTATGCCCTGCTTTATAGAAGTTGTGATTTTCATTACATACATACGTGTGTATGCCTGTATGCCCTGCTTTATAGAAGTTGTGATTTTCTTTAAAGCAGGGCACACATACGTATATATTAGTTATTTATGCCTTCCAATACTCAAAATAGCTGCTATATTTTCCAAACTTTTTTCGTTAATAACTTTTTAACGAATAACGAGCGCGGGCTGAAACCTTCTGAACCTCACTCAGGAGAATGACCTTAACAACATACTAAAATATTAAGGTTATCCAAGGTGATCCTCCCCATCTAAACAATTACCATATTTATGCATTATAAGTATGCATACGTTTAAAATTCGCACACTTTTGCATGCGCGTGCGGCCGCGAAGCATGTTCATGATCGCTACATCACGTCGGTATGACAGGATTTCTAACTTAAGAATCGTCAATTTTAACGCTAAATATCTTGCTTTGCAGGGCAGACCGCCGCATTTTTTTGCCAGATTCTTTCGTTTCGTGCCAAAATGCGTCGAATGAGCCTATTTTTATTAATTTTTGAGGTGCAGTAGCTATTCTATATAAATACCCAGAAGTTTTATCTTCAGTACTAAAAGTAAGTACTTCATTGTACTTTTTAATATAAAATTTTTAATTGGTATAAACGGAAAGTCATCTAAAATATATTTGACAGGAATGATGTCCTTTTTGAATATTGAAAGATGTAAAGTTCTTCAAGTAAGAGTTTGGATTAGGACTGTTACTCTTCGACAACTTTGAAGCTTCGAATAATTTGAACTTTTGAAGTTTACGGTGTCTTCGAAGCTTCGAAAAATACATTTGCGACATAAGCGACATAATTGCAACATTCAAAATTTTATTCGGATTTTGTCATATAATTTTATAAATGTGTGCCTATTGGGATGTTCAGTCGTGACGTAGCCGTGACGTCACAAGGCCAAGATGGCTGGCCTATTTTTGAAAGTAATAGAGCTATCACATATAAAGCTTACGTTTTTCATAAATAATTAGTGAAATAACGATGTGTGTGATAAAAAAAGTGCGATGGGTGAACATCTAAAAGACAGAGGGGCAAGGTTTTCCCCTAGAGACACAAAAAATCGCGATTCTTGCTGTGTATTTGGCTGCAAAAGCTATGGAAAAGATACCTCTGTGCGATTCCACATGTTTCCACTTAAAGGAAAGTTCTATATTGAAAAAAAGACATGTTTGGAAATATAGAGAAGATTGATGTTCGAAAACAATGGCAGAGAGTATTGAAAATATCAAAACCAGAGTGGATAACCAAAAAGTGGACAGTGTGTTCTTTGCACTTTGACAGGAGTGATTGACGTTCTGCCTGGTAAGTCAATATGATAATAACTGAACAATAACAAGTAAAATATATTCATTGAATATTAATGAGTAATATTAGTTATAATAAATTGTATATTAAATGTAGTATGTAAAAACAATTCACCGATTTTTTAAACGCAAAAGTATTTCAAACACTCCTGTTATCAATTGAAGAATAATAATAACAAATAAAATTTTATTAATATTTTAGATATGCCGGCAAAACGGAGGGTTTTGCAGAAGACTGCTATCCCTAAATACAATTTGCCACAAAGGCAACAAAGTGAGGAAGAAAAAGTTGTAGAAGAAAAAAAGAAGAAAAATAAGAAAAACAGAGAAACGAGAAGAATGAATCGTGAGAAGCTGAAAGAAAGCAAGGACCATGTCCAGGATTTATACAAACTTGTAATGGATCATCAAGCACAGCAATCTGAGGACCTGGAAGACATACAATGTAATGAGGAAGGCGAGCCCAATTTATCAAACTCATTTGTCGATGCAGGAACTCAAACAGATAGTGGTGTAAACGGATGTGAACCAATGTTTGTCAATAAAGATGTACAAACCGGAAGCATAAACGTTTGTTACTTGATTAAGAATGATAAAGATTTAAGTACGATGACTGGTATTGAGAACTTCGGTATCTTGAATGCTATTGTAGATATTTTAAATACTGTGTATCCAATTAAAAAGTCAACTTATGATTACAAATCAAAAGTAATTTTGACATTCATGAAGCTAAAACTTAATTTATCGTATTATGCTCTAGCCGTGTTATTCACGGGCATTAAATTGACTCAAATAAGAAATGTTTTTCTTGAAATGTTGACACTTCTGGATGATGTTTTGCAGTATGCCGTAGTATTCCCAAGTAAAAAGGAGATTCATAAAAACATGCCCACATGCTTTGAGGATTTTAAAAACACGCGAGTAATGATAGATTGCACAGAAGTTCCGATACAAAGGCCAAAAAATGTCTGTTGTCGTAAAATAGCGTACTCGAATTACAAAAGAACGTACACTGTAAAAATTATGACTGGCGTAACAGCTGGGACTATAAGTTTTTTAAGCAGAGCATATGGGGGGAAATATTCTGACAAATTAATTTTTGAGCAAAGCGGTTTAATTAATCTTGTTGAAAAAGGCGAAGCAATCATGGTAGACAAGGGATTTTTAATTGACCATATTTGTTTAGAAAATCAAGTAATATTGATTAGACCTCCTTTTCTAAGAAACAAAAAACAATTTAGTAGACAAGAAGCACTTTTGAATGCAAAAATTGCAAAAGCTCGTGTACATGTCAAAAGAGCGAATCAGCGTTTAAAACTGTTTCGCATATTGATCGATAAAATGCCTAGTGGATTAGTTTCTCGAGTGAATGAGATATTTAGAATTATATCAGCTATTGTAAATTTGAGCTCTCCTATTTTAAAAGATTGTCAATTTACCACATTATAAATTTATTTCTTAAAACTGTAAAATATATTCAGTGTTCTTAAAAGCTTTCTTTCTCTCTCATGTTTTATTTTGTTTAAGATTATTTAAGATTAATAGAACCTACTCGTTTATATGATCACTGGGGATAATAAATAACACCAAAAAAATTGTTTATTTTTTTGATTATTTAATTAATCAACCATCATCCAAACGTACATTATGGAGCATGTGCTCAAAATAAGCGAGTTTCACATTTTTCAACAGATCCTTAACATATATTTCATCATAGTCTACTGGAATCACAACTATTTCATGATCAAATGGAGAATAGATAACAAAATCCGTTCTTTTTTTTTTTAATTTAAGACTGCCATACCAAATTGTATCTGTCCATAGTATTCGTGCTTTTCTTTTAATATAAGATTCTTGATTCTTGCAGTGTATTGAGGATTCTCAAGTGCGTTTAAAGAATCGTCTCGGGACGATTCAGGGAGCTTTACACTAAAAGACTTCGAAGATTTATCTCGTTTTAAATATTTCAAGTCATTGAGAACATCATTTATTTTACTGGTCTTACCGGAATAGGGACACTTGATCTCTAATAGTCTCACCGGTTTGTTGTCTTGAAAAACAACACCATCCGGTGAGTAGCCTAACCAGGGATAATGTCCGAGATTACAAGACCACATTCTACTACCTGCCATTGTGAGATTTCATATCTCTTCCTTGCAAGGGGTTCATTTGCAAGACTATGCATTACATAAGTGTTCACAATTTTTTGGGGGTAAAAATACTTTAGGGATTTGTCTTTCCAATTAGGATTGGTTTTCTTATTGGTGAAGTATGTGTACAGAGCGTAGCATCTGGAGCCCGTTACTCTAAACTGTCGTTCTTGTTTCCAAACAGAAATAGATGCTTGGCTTAATTCGCAGATACGTAATACGTCTTTTTCTAAGCTTTTTAGTTTCTTTTTGCAACATGTGGCTAAATCGTCTACTAAAGGCTTCTCATTGGAAAGTGCATGCATTTCTTTCGAAGGTAAATTTTGGACAATGATTTATCTCGGGAGAAGAGTTTACAGGAATCTGGGTCATAGAGACTGGACTATGTCTCCCACACCTACATATAATAATTACATATGTAAAAAAATTAAACAAGTAAAATGAATTGCATCATGTAAAAAAAATATACTTGCAGAAATAGATAAAAATTGATTGGATATAATCACTAAAACAAAAATGTGCAAATTCATTGTGTTAACGAAATATTAACAAAACGTCAGTGTAAATTTAGCAATAATAAAATATGTCGAGTAAAAATAGACAAAAAATAATTGAAAATTTACGTTAAGAAGTTCCACATGATTATAAGGTGAAAATTTACATAAAGAAGTTCTACATGATTATAAGATTTGCACCAATAAAAATAATTGATTCGATGTTTGTAAATGTATATCCTAACAATGAGTAAAACCTGATTATTTTGCTCGCTTACTCTGATATTTTGAAATACCAATATACTTGTAAAAAATTCAATTTGTGTCATACATGTGCTTTGTTAACGCTGATGGGATTGTAAACAATCTATTCTTGACGTAGTCTATCTGCTCATCAGTCAAAGTCAATTTCTTCTCACAAATATTGAAACACTTATGATCTTCCAGAGGTGCAGATTTATACCCATCTACAGCCGTGCTGTGTTGTATGTTCCAGATGCATTTTTTATCGGTGCAGGAAATATTCTCAAATTTATCGACATCATATCTAAAAGTTTACATTGATTAGAAACAGCATACTACTACATGTGTTATTGTTAACATACATTAATAACTTTTATATGTACTTACCGATTACAATGTAGCAAAACTGCAACCGTGTGTTTGCATTTTGCACTCATCCCTGCTTTGCAACTACATTTTGCGGATAATATTTTCCCTGATTTTAATATCACTATGTTTATTTCGTGAAGGGCACCTTTAACATTTGACATTTGAAGGCAATATGCAGTTAAATGCCATTTGTCTTTTTTTTTGTTTTTGAGGTTGTGAACTCCGGTTGGAGTTATAGACGCCTTCAGCCCCACCTTTGGACTATATAGCGTATTTAAGTGTTGGTCTGTTCTTTCTTCCACTTTATATGATCCTGTTCAATTTTTTAATGAATCTGAATATCACTGAAATTTTCATCCAATCTTCTCTCCTGATTATCTCAAAAATGTCTTCCGTTCCTCTAAGATTCCTGATCTCGAGCTCCTCGTTCAACCTTTCTTTCTGGTCGTCGTATTTTCTGCACTCCCATACCACGTGATTGATATCCTCCACGTAGTTTCCACATTCACAGTCAGGTGTCGCTATGTATTCCTTTCTAGCTAAGGACTCGTTCAAATTATAATGATTTGCTCGTATTCTGTTCATCCATGTGTAGAAATATCTTTCCGTTCTTATTTTGTGGAACCATGGTTTCTTCTTTTCTTCATCATAGTATCTTCTAAAGTAGTCTCTTCCCTTATAACTTGCTTCATTTTTTATTTTTTCTTGTGTTCTCCTTTTTGCTTCCTCCTTGAATATTGTCATATAATCTTGTATAGGTACTTCAATACTCTTATTATTGTCTTCTTCTGTTCCTGTTTTTGCTAATTTATCCGCCATTTCATTTCCCGTGAATCCTTTGTGAGACGGTATCCATGCATAGATTATTCTCTTATTGTATCTTGTTTTTATTTTGTGGTGTCTCCTTCTAATATCTAATATGTATTTATTTTTGTACACGTCTAATCTGTTGTTTTTAATTGCTTTTATTACTCCTTGGTTATCTGATAATATTATAATCATTTCCTCTTCTTCCTTATTTTCCCTCTCCAATTTGTCCTCTATTTTCCTTAGAGCTGCATTTATTGCGTATGCTTCTGCTGTATATACTGACGAGTTTTTTGGTAAACTTGCATAATATGCATCTTCTTCTTCTTCTTCTATCACTATTCCTGCTCCAACACTTGGGTTTCCCTCGATCCTTGATCTATCCGTGTATATGAATTTGATGTTCTTCTGGTTATATTTGTCCTTAAATTCATCTATCAACTCATAGTCTTCTTTTTTATATTTCATCTCTTCGATTTTTCTTTTTTCCTTTATTTCCGCTTTATTCTTGTAGATTTCTCCCACTTCTAAATCCGTTTCAATTTCTTCCGTTAGTATATCGTAATTCGTTTCCCATAGTTCGTAAGTTTCTTTTTCTTCTCCTATTTCGTTTCTATATTTTTTAATTTCGTCCCATGCCATTGTAAGCGTACTTTTCTTCTTTTGTGGAAATCTCAATCGTTCTTTAGCTTCTGCTCTCGATAAGTTTTCTAAACTTTTTTTAATTTCTTTGCTTCCGTACTTTTTGACCTTCAGGCAAAAGTTTTTTGCCAACATCAAGGCTCTTTCACTTAATATTTCTACTTTTGCTTCCGCGATTATTACGTTTGTCGGAGTACTATTTCGATAACCAAGGGCTAGCTGTCCTTAATCCTAAAAATTAACCTCTTTCTAGTTTTATTTTTAATCTTTCTAAATTAGGTGCATATATAAAGCAGCCATAATCTGCTACAGATCGGACTAAACTTTTGTACAAATTCAAAGCTGTGTTGCAATCAGACCCTCTCGTTATATTATTCAGATATTTAAGAATATAATTTGCTTTTTCTATTTTTGCCCTTATTTCTGCTATGTGACTTTCGAACTTTAGTTGGTTATCTATCCTAATACCTAGAAACCTAGCTTCTTTTTTACATTCTATTTTTGTTCCCTGAAGTTCTATAAACATTTCCTTATCTATAACCCCGTATCTGTTAAATTCTATTAAATTGGTTTTTTGAGGTTCTAATTCCAATCCTATTGCACTAAGATTTTCTGCCATCATTTTGACTGCTTGTTCTAGTTTTCTTTTGTTCTCTCTTTTATTTTTTTCTTTTACGTACATTCCTATGTCGTCTGCAAATTCCATATCTATTACGTCTATCTCTAAACCCTTATCTATCTCATGTGTATTTACTTCATAAAGCGCTGGGCTTAAGACTGATCCCTGAGGTAATCCTTTTTTCACTATTTTAGTTACTGTTTTTTCCCCATCGACGACAAATTCTACTTCTCTGTTTCCTAACCATATATCTATAAAAGTTAACATTCTTATTGGACAATCCATTCCTATTAGTTTATTTTTTAATATGTGAAATTGCACGTTGTCATAAGCCGCTGATACATCTAGGAAAGCTGCCAAACAGTATTCTCCTTCCAATATTGCCGTTTTTGCATCTGTAATTTTCGCTAAATTTTCAATACATGATTTTCCTCTTCTAAATCCATTTTGTAATTTGTTGAATTTTCTTTCCTTTTCCATCCACCATATCAGTCTTTCATTTACTAGTCTTTCCATCAGTTTTCCCATACATGAAGATAACGAAATTGGTCTTACTTTATTCTTATTTATCTTATCAATGAAGAATACTTGATATTTTCTCCATTCTTCTGGAAACCCTTTTCCTTTCCAAACTTCATTCAATATTTCCAATAAAATCTTTAGAATTTCTCTTGGTAGTTCTTTTATCATTTTGTAGTCTATTCCATCTTTTCCTGGAGCTGAATCCTTTTTTATCATTTTAATTGCTCTCATCAGTTCTTCCTCTGAAAAATCCTTATCTAGTACGTTATCTTCTTCTTTTTCAGGTATTTTTACTTTTAATGTCACACTTGGGGCTGCTAGTTGTTCTATATCCTTCAGGATTAATTCTTCTCTTTCACCAAATTTCCATTTGTTCCATTCTACTTTATTTCTTCCTTTTTTAAAGATCCTCATCATTTTCCACACATATGACATATTACTATATTTTGTTAGTCCATTACAAAATTTTTTGAAACTCTCTCTCTTTTTTCGTTTTATCGTTTTTCTCATTATAGCTCTACTTTTTTTATACTCCACATAAGTATGAATGTTTCCTTTTTTTCGGTATTCTTCCATTTTTTTCCTTCTATCCTTCTTTATTTC